GTTTTATGGGGTTTTGATTTTTTGTGGGTTTTTTGGGTTTTTTGTTTGGTTTCGTGCAGATTTTTGGGTGTGTTTGGGGGTGGGTTTTTTTGTGGTGTTTTTTGTGGGGGTTGTGTTTTGGTTTTTTTGGGGGGTTGTTTTGTGTCGTTTGTGGTTGGTGTGGGTTTTTTTGGGTTTTTTTTTGGATTTTTTTGTTAGTTTTGTTTGGGGTTTGGGGGTGTGGGGGTTGTTGGGTTTTTGTTTGTTTGTTGTTTTAATTTCAATTAATGGTTTAGTCTCCTCTAAGTCTTTTCATGGAACATCACTCATATTTCCAAAGACTCTGCAACTGCTTCTTTTAAGGAAATAACACAAACTGTAAAAAGGAGTTTTGAATTCCCTCTTCTTTCCCAAACAAAAAGCCTTTTAAACCCTTGAACTCTCCTAAACTGAGATCCTGAACCCCTTCTGCTTGTGTTGCCCTCAGGATTTGTGCCCCAAACACAAATTAACTCTCCTAACAGGATTTTGCAAGCCCTTTGTTAGCATTTATTTCTGTGTGAGGACACCAGGCTGCACATTTCCTTGAAAACAAATCCATGTTGATTTTGCCTTTTGTTGCAGAATTGTCCCATTTCTTGGAAAATTCACCGAATTCTTGGTTCTGCCTCAAAATGAATGAATAAGATGATGAATATTTTTCATTATTAACTTCAAATTCGGTTAACTGGGGTTTGTTTTTTTTTTCAGACAAGCTCATATTTTATTGATTTTTTTTTTGTAGGAAGCTTCTTGATGCCACTCCAGTTCTGACTGACCAAAAACCATCAGTCTCCAAATCCGGACGAAAAATTAAAGGAAGGGGCACAATAGTATGTGACAATTTTTATTTATTTATCTCTTTATTTCCTCTCACTCAGAGCATCTTCTCTGACCTGGAGTTCTGACTTCCCTTGGAGGTTTTGTGGGATGCTTTATCCACGTGTATTTATTTGCATTCTAGTTTAGGAGGTTGATTTTAATAATGCAGGATTTCATTCCTTCTCTTTACTGTCTTAAGAGTTTGGGAAAGCAAATGCTTCATTCTCAGCCCCAAGAAGTCTCCAAACATAAGAATGAAGTTATTTCCTTTAAAAGATGGAAATAATTCGGGCAGATTCATCCCACACAAGCCACAAGAGAAGTGACAAGAGCTTTTCCTCTTCCCTCTTCTTTGGATCTCCCTGTGTTTTCTCTGAGCGTTGGGACTGCAGCACATAAGACAGATCAAGCTGCTCAGCAGCCCTTTCTGATGTGGAATTCAAAAGTTTTTCTCCTCTAATAACTCATAAAATCCAGGCCCAAAATGCTGCACAGCTGTGCTGTTGTTTTTCAGTCAGCACAAGGGGGAGAAAGTCAGAAAAGCTGCTGTAATTGTGCTTGTGGTTCTGCTGGATTGGAGCGTATTCTTCTCCTGGAGAATCTTCTCCTGCATCAGCTTGGCAGGTGGCATTTGGGGAACCACAAAGCCAAAGCAAGCCTTGGTCCTGCCAAACGTTTTTGCAAGTGGAAGTTCTCAAAAAGGAAAGTGTCTGTACATATGTCAATATATCATAGATAATGTAATTAAAAGCTTCATTAGAAGGGCTTAAACTGAGACTCCTCCGAGCATGATTTTCTTATGTAACAGCCACTGGATTTGGGAAGTGTTTTTTCCACTGATCCCCCAGGATACAATTATTTTAAGCCACCAAATTAACAGCTTGGATGCCACAGGGTGGACCAAGGTATTGGATTGGTTGAGCCTCAACCCCAGTTTTCCAGCCTTGACGTGAAATGTGGCAGCTGCCCTTGCATCTGACACAGCTTGTTTGTGTTTGACACTCATGGGATCCACTGAAACCTTTAAAAGAGGATGTTTTTGCATATTTATCTAGATAAAAATTCAGGGAAAAATAACTCACAAAGCTGAGTAGAATTGGGGATTACCAGGTTTGGGGGATTCTCTCCTGTTTTCATCATTGAAAATCATATCATTTTCATCACATCATCTTGAAAAAATGAAGAATGAGAACAAGGTGTAACTTAGGGCCAGCACTTAGTTGGAGAAGCACATTTTCCTGCCATCTCTAATAATCTGATCAGCAACAGTTTCTGTTGGGGGTGAAGTTGTTTGGTGTTTTCCAGAATTTATAAATTCCAGGATGTTCCTGGATATCACATTTGAGAATTAGGGAGATCCAGGATAAGTTCACAGCCTGTTATATGCCAGTCATCTGTAAAAGCTTTTTTTTTTTTTTAAGTAGTCATTGCTTCAGCACAAATTAGCTCTAAGTGGTAGGTTATCCATTTATTTTTTTATATAAACAGGGTATCTTAAAGACTTTTGTAATTAATTGAATAAATCAATACATGCATCTCTCTGATTTTATTCTGGGGGGCAACACTTTTTTTCCCTCTCTTCCTTTCAAAAGTGCCTCAAAATAATGGAGTGAAATCCAGATGTGTTTTTTATTGAATCAAGGAGCATCTGATTTCCTCACAGAACTTACCTGACTGTGTATCCAGCTGGGTAGTGGAAAACAACAATTCACAATATTAGAGGTTTTTTTTCTCTGCTGCACAAGTAGCTCTTATTGCCTACTGCATAATTTTTTAAATATGAAGCTTCTTTATTGTGTTTTGTGAAAGAGTTTAGGGGTTTTTAGTGTTTTTTGGTTGGTTGGTTTCCTGGTTTTTATTGCGTGGAAGGTGTTTTAAACTGGATTCTCATTTCTGCAGAGCTGAACAGCAGTAACTTTGGAAATAGGGCTTGTCTTTGCTCATCTGAGCAGTTAAGTGTCTGCTAACTGAAGTGAAACATCTGTGCTTTAGCATCCTGAAAAAAAAAAAAGGTGGTTATCTGCAGTAATTGTGTTATTCCAAAAGGGAATCCATGGCCTCTTCCTTGATCCTTCCTTTTATGTTTAGCTAAAAAAGGGTGAGCTTCTGGTCCCCCTCAGGCTTTGTAAAACGCCCTGGGTATGAGAAGACACAGTTTGCTGTGGAAGAAAGATGGTTGCATAATGTTTTTTTTCTGTGCCTTCCCAGCGCTACCACACCCCCCCTCGATCCCGCTCGTGTTCCGAATCCGAGGATGACGAGAGCAGCGAGACCCCTCCTCACTGGAAAGAGGAGATGCAGAGATTAAGGACCTACCGACCTCCCAGCGGGGAGAAGTGGAGCAAAGGAGATAAGTAAGATCCTTACTATAAATTTTATAGCCTGTTTGTTTGTTTGTTTGTTTTGTTTTTACACGGTGTTGAAGACCTTGTGTAGATGAACCCACGTAGGTGGACCAGGATGAGAGGAAACGGCCTCAAGTTGTGCCAGGGAAGGTTTAAATTAGATATTAGGGGAAAAAAAAAATTTTGTGGAATGGGTTGTAAAGAACAGGCTGCTCAAGGAAGTGGTGGAGTCATCATCCCTGGAAATGTTCAGAGAAAACATGGATGTGGCACTTGAGGACATCCATCAGTTCTGGACCCCTCAGCTCAGGAAGGACATGGAGGGGCTGGAGCAGGGGCAGAGAAGAGCAACGAGGCTGGGGAAGGGACTGGAGCACAAGTGCTGTGAGGAGAGGCTGAGGGAGCTGGGGGGGCTCAGCCTGGAGAGGAGGAGGCTCAGGGGAGACTCAGCACTCTCTGCAACTCCCTGGCAGGAGGGGGGATCCAGGGAGGGTCTTGGTCTCTTTTCCCAGGAACCAGCAGTAGGACAAGAGGGCTCGGTCTGGAGCTGTGCCAGGGGAAGTTTGAGTTGGACTGGATGATCTTGGAGGTCTTTCCCAACCCCACTGATTCTGTGACATGGGTTAGTGGTGAACAAGGTGGTGGTGTGGGGTTGTCGGTTGGACTTGGTCACATTAAAGGTCTTTCCCAACCTTAAAACTTCCATGGTTTCCTTTAGCCCCAAACTGGGTGATGTGGATTCTTTGGGTACCAAGTGAGACAGTTGAATCCACTGATCCTTTATTGTTTTGGTTATATGTTCTTTCTGCAGCTGCAAACTCTGTGATGGATGAAAGCCAGCTCTCCAAAATTTCTGACTTGATACTAAATATGAGCTTTTGTCAAATTATGAGAGAGAAACCTCAAAAGGGAAAGTGAAAAATATTATGTGTAACCATTACTGAATAATTACAAATGTTTCTGGTGGTTCTTTTTTATATACTGAGATGTTTTAAAATTTAAATATTTAATAATATCTAATAATATAACAATATTAATGTTAGTAATAATAATAAAATATTTAATATATAAAAGTGGTTTAAGAATCTTGCAGTTGCAGAGGTCGAAGTCCTGTGGACAAGGGTAATGAAAACATTAAATTTCTTCACACAGGTTCTACAATATGCAAAATTTGCAGATGTTGGCTGATCTATTTCTTAGAGAGAAGTAGCTCTTGGTAGTGATGTGGTTCTTAAAATGAGTTCAAGAAGCTCAGTCAGAACACAATTGCCTGGTAGTAAAGCGTGTGTGTCAGGTTTTTATATCTCAATTTTGAAATCATATTTTAAAATACCTAATTTATCTGCAGTTTTATGAGGATTTCACTCAGTGTGGGGCTTTCTGATTTGTTTTCCAGGTTGAGTGACCCGTGTACCAGCAGATGGGATGAAAGAAGCGCATCCCGGAGATCCAGGTCCTGGTCCCACAATGGTTACGCTGACCTAAGCTCTGTGAGGTACTCCAGCCATCACAAGAAGCACAGGAAAGAGAAGAAAAAGGTGAAGCATAAAAAGAAGTCTAAAAAGCAGAAGCATTTCAAGAAGCACAAGCAAACGAAAAAAAAGAAAGCCTCGGCCTCATCGGACCTGGAATCTTCTCATTCCTTCCACAGGAGGACAAAGTCGTCTTGTGATCGTGAGAGGAAGTCTCGTTCTTCTTCCATATCTTCCAGACGTTCCTCCAGAAGGGACTGGTCCAAGTCTGATAAGGAGGATCAGAGCTCATCATCTTTATCGAGCAGAGGGTCTCGCTCTTACTACAGGTCCAGGTCCAGATCCAGGTCTAAATCGAGGTCTTACTCCCGAAGAAGTTCTAGATCGAGATCAGCCTCTAAATCGTCGCGGTCTCGAAGTAGGTCACGGTCCAGTTCTAACCCCAGGCAGCAAAAGACTGTCCCCAGCTCTCCACGGAATATCTCAACCCGATTAAACGACGCTAAGTTGGCCAAGGCAGCCGAGCCGGTCCGAGCAGTTCTGCTGCCCAGCGACAAAGTTGTCGTCCCACCGGTTGTCCCAGAAAGCCTCCCTGTGATACCCCTGAGTGACAGCCCACCCCCCTCGAGGTGGAAACCTGGGCAGAAACCGTGGAAGCCATCCTACGAGCGAATTCAGGAGATGAAAGCTAAAACTACCCATTTAATACCCACCCAAACTAACTACAGTCTGGTGGTCGTTAAAGAGGCCAACACCTCCTCCTCCTCCTACCGCAAGCGGGAGCGGAGCTCGGAGAGCGACCGGAGCGGCTATTCCAAAGGCCGCAGTGACAGGAGCTCAGAGAGCTGGCCGAGGTCCAGGAGCAGGTCCTCCCGAAGTCGGTCCTACTCCAGATCCTACACACGATCCAGAAGTCCATCGAGCTCCAGGACGAAATCCCACTCTTCCGGCAGGTCCCCGTCACCGAGCAAATACCGCAGCGACCGCTCGGGCTACAGCGAGTCCACCTCTTACTATTCCCTCAGCGACGAGGACAGACACGGCAACAGACGGAAATCCACGGGCAGCGATCAGAAAGCCCGGGGCCCCAAACTGAGGCAGGAGACGAGCTCGGAGAGTCCCCTGCCTCACAAACGCCCCAAAGACTACGATGAGTCTTCCCAAGGGTTGAAGGAGAGCGACACTTTGTCGTCCTCGGACTTCTCCAGCGACAGCGAGCGCTCCGCCAAAGCCAAGGTGACCCAGGAGAAGGAAAGTCGTTTCCCATTGGGGGGGGATGCTCAGAAACAAGGTAAAACCAGCCTGAGTTCTGAGAGAGGGGAGGAGAAGCCCAGGTGTGAGCGGGATTCTGATCACTCCAAAAGGAAAGCAGGGAAAGAGAAGTCTCTGGAGCAACCCAGGGGAGGGGCGAAAACGAAACGGAAATCCTACTCGGGCAGCAAGTGGGACTCGGAGTCCAACTCCGAAAGAGGAGAGGCAAGGCACAATAGGGGGGATTCCAGACCTTCCTCTGGTAAAGAAGAAGGAGAGGCCACCTCAGGGTCTGATACAGAGCTCAGTGTCACCAAAAGGATAAAGAAACAGTCCAATTCCTCCGAATTTCTGGGCTCTGATTGGAAGACAAACAAACAGTTGTCATCTTCTGAATCCGACAGTTCCTGTTCCAGCTCGGCAGACGCTCGAGGCAAGTCAAGAAAACACAAGCATGGGTTGAAAAAGCAACTTAAAAAGTCGCATTCCAAAAAGCCAAAAGAAAAATCCAAAGGGAAGAAGGAGAAAAAACACAAAGTCCAGAAGAGAAAAGAGATGTTTCACTGGCAGCCCCCCCTCGAGTTTGGGGAAGAAGAGGACGATGAGATAAGTGAAAAGCCGGTTGCCAAGGATGATAAAAAGGAAAAGCAGCCTACCGGGGACATAAAGGATAAAAAACAAGTTTATGAAAAGGATGAAATAGTCCCAGATAAAATGGGAAATGGTGAAAAGTCATGTGTGAGTGAAAACCTTTTAGACAAAAACACCACGGGTGAGGCCTCCCCAGATCGCAGCAACCTTCGTAAAGAGAGCATTGAAACGAACGCTGCAACCGGTGCTTTAAACTCAGGGATAAATGTTTCTGCCTGCAAGAATGAGATGAAACAAGCTGAGGAAAGTAACCAGAACGGGTTGGAGGATGTTATTCAGACAGATGACAACATGGAGATCTGCACTCCCGATCGTAACTCGCCAGGGAAGGTGGATGTGGACGTTTTGTCTCCTGTCATTCTCACTCCTAAACCCCAGGCTTTAAGTGCTGCTATCAAAAAAGAGCCACAGGTTGAGACCCCTGAGCGAGACGCTGTCAAAGTAGGAAACAACATTAGAGACTTGATTAATATTAAAGAAGAGAAAGAAACGGGAAGGCAAGAAAATAACTCTGTGTCTGGTGCTAAAGACTGTGGTTTAAAAAGTGAAATGACTGAAAATGCACAAAGCAATATGATAGACAATAAATGGAAGCCTTTGCAGGGTGTTGGTAACTTGCAGCCAGCAGCAGTCAGTACAGCCACAGAGGTTAAGAGTGTAGCAGTAGCACCAGAGCCTAAACCAGCAGGTTTAAGGATTGAAATAAAAGCCAAGAATAAGGTGAGGCCTGGATCTCTGTTTGATGAGGTCAGGAAAACTGCCCGGCTCAATCGGCGGCCCAGGAACCAGGAAAGCTCCAGTGAGGAGGAATCCCCAGGCAGAGATGACAACAGCCCCTCCAGGAGCCTCAGTAGGTCACGGAGTAAATCTGAGTCCAAATCCAGACACAGAACAAGGTCCTTGTCCTACAGTCACTCCAGGAGTCGATCCCGAAGTTCTACATATTCGTATAGGTAAGAAGTTTGTGCTGCTCCCACAGCCTGCCCTGGGAACTTGGAGGTTTTCATCTTTTCAAGGCATGATTTTCTTACTCAACTCACGTTTTTCTTCTGAGCAGCACAGCGTCATACAGTTATGGAGTGGCTTGGGTTGGAAGGGACCTGAAAGAGTGGAAAGTTCCACCCCCCTGCCATGGGCAGGGACACCTTCCATTATCCCAGGTTGCTCCAAGCTCTTTTCAACCTCGACTTGGACACTTCCAGGGATCCAGGGGCAGCCACAGCTTCTCTGCCCAACCTGTGCCAGGGCATCACCACCCTCCCAGCCAGGAATTCCTTCCCAATATCCCATCTCTCCCTGCCCTCTGGCAGTGGGAAGCCAAAAAAAAGTGTCCTGTCCCTCCATGCCTTGTCCCCAGTCCCTCTCCAGCTCTCCTGGAGCGCCTTTAGGCCCTGCAAGGGGCTCTCAGGTGTCCTTGGAACCTTCTCTTCCCCTGGCTCAACACCCCCAGCTCTCAGAGGATCTCCAGCCCTGTGAGCAACTTAATGGCAAGCATGTAATAAATATTTAGCGTAAAAGATAAAGATTTAGAACTTCTTTTATAACTTCTTTTGCATCTTCTTGAGTTCTGTTCCATCCTGTTGTTCACTGCAGGTCAAGAAGCTACTCGAGAAGCAGGAGCAGAGGGTGGTACAGCAGGGATCGCTCCAGGAGTCGAAGCAGCTCTTACCACAGTTACAAGAGTCGTAGGTGAGTTTGTTTGGAGATCCTGCAAGACAGGTTGTTCTGCTCTCGCTCCCCTTCTCCCCCTGCCCTCTTCAGCACTTTGTATTTATTAACTTCACGTTTCTCTCTGGTTTTGTTTTTGTCAGTCGTAGCTACAGCAGAAGTCGCTCCAGAAGTAGTTCTTATGGTCATCACAGTCGATCCAGGTATGGGTTATAGTTGGGTACAACCTCTGCAATAGATATATTATTATAAAAATATCATAGTGTGAGAATACTTTTTGCTTATATTTCTTTAAAATAGGCTATATATAATTACATGATATATGAGAGTAATTTATGCCATGTGTGCTATGTATTTTATTATATATACTATAATATACATACATATATAAATACATATTTATAAGAATACTTTTTAGGAATGCCTTCATCTCACAGTCTGGAATGGTTTGGGTTGGAAGGGACCTTAAAGATAATCTCATTCCAACCCCCCTGCCATGGACAGGGACACCTTCCACTATCCCAGGTTGCTCCAAGCCCCGTCCAACCCGGCCTTGGACACTTCCAGGGATCTGTGGTACTTTAAAACTAGAATATCATTGTAACAGCTTGAATCAAAGCAAAATCAATATAAGACACTTAGAAGCTGGGAATAACCAAAACATCCTGGCATAGCAGTTACAGGTGATGATATGAGATGAGAAATAGTGACCACATCCCCCTCTTTTGTTAAAATGAAACCGAGTTATAAATGGAATCACTTCACTTGTTTTCAAATCAGCAAACAAGATTTTTACTGCATCCACAAGGAAGAGAAACCACAAAACTTTATGGATGCTTATTATGTCTTTTCTAGATTAATAAATTCGAGATTTTTACTGCTGCTTTGAAATAATTGTTGTCGTGTGGGAACCTTTCTAAAGCATAGAATTGCTCGCTGCATCCTTCCAAAGTCATTTCCATCCAGCCCCTCATCTCTGTAACTAAATGTCCTTTGAGCCTGCACATAAAATAGATTTTTAGACAACAAGAAATTACAAATTTGCCTTCTTTTCCCCTTTGAAGTAGGTCCTACACGTATGACAGTTACTACAGCAGGAGCCGGAGCAGGAGCAAAAGGAGCGACAGCTACCGACGGTCTCGGAGCTACGACCGCAGATCCAGGTGTGCTTTGGCACTGGATTTGAGGGGAAAAAAAATTGCTAAATGTATATTTAACAAAGTTTAAGAAAGGCCAAGGTGCTGGTTTTTTTCCCCCAGGCATAAAAAAGTAATCATTAAAACCAGTTACAATCAGAGCGTGTGCGTGAGGGAGGAAGTCAGAACCCCTGGCATACCAAGATTGAGGATGGCGATAAAGCAGGATAAGAAAGATTCATTGTATGGATGCGTTCAAAATTTGCACATTTTCCCAGTCACCATCCCTGGAGATCTTCAAAAACCATATGGAAATGGCACTTGAGGACGTGGTTTAATGGGGAAGACAGTGCTGGTGCTGGGTTAACAGCTGGACTTGGTGGTCTTACAGATCTTTTCCAACCTTCATGATTCTATGATTTCTGATTTTTTTTAGCAGTATTAAGTGATTTTTAAAAACTACACAGTGAACTAACTCTCAAGATTTAAATCAAGTGCCCTGTGATGGATTAAAAGCTGCCTGGTATGCAAAGAATTCCACTGGATGGTAAATTCTTCTTGGTTTGAACTGCAAAAGTGGATTTTAAAACAATCTGGAAGGGAAAGTAAAAAAATTGCTCTGCAAAATTCCTAAAATGTATTTTGAAAGAATAATTTTTTTTACCTGCAAATCTGATGAATTTGGAATAAATTCTATTTTGCCCTGTCCAGGGGATTTATAGAAGTGCAGGTGAGAACATTTCACAGAGGTCGGGGTGGAGCAGGAGATATAGAGAGATATAGATTTAATATCACTGATGATTGGTTTTATACCTTTTAATATGTCCCCTATTAGTCATAAATCATACAGGCCTCTATAACTGCTGTAAATTTTCATCCTCTGCTCTCCTCATACTCATTTTTTTATAACTTTATACCAACTCTTAAAGGTTTTGCTCTCACCCATTTCCCCAAGACAACTTTCATCATGTATTTGAGTGGAATTTAATTAGATTAACAAAGAATGTGGAAATAAACTTGCAAAATTATTGTTCTATTATGTTGAGAAGCTTCAAAGAAGCAATGTTGGATTAGGATATGCTCACCTTTCATTTAGGAAGCTTCCCTTGCAGGCAGGAGGCTAAAAAAAAAAAAAAAAAAAAAATCTCTAATGAAAGCTTATTCTGTGTAATTGGAATATTTCCTGTGGCTTGCCTGAAACCATCTGGGCTCTTGTGTTGATCTTTGGCCAGGTGCTGAGCTTGGGATTCTTCTGGATAAGCCAGACCATTTTAATACACAATTTCCACCCTGCAGACACACACACACACACTTCTCTTGTGGTTCTGGGGCCTAATTTTCAAGCTCCTTCTTGAAACAAGAAAATACAACATATGTAAAGCAAGGATTTGTGACATTATCTTAGCTAAAAGATGCTTGCAATATCAAATCAGATGTGTTAGAATGTATCTCTCAGTCAGCTGTTAACCTTTCTAAAACGATTAATTTTGGATGGTTTTTAGCTGTAAAAGAGAAAGCAAGAAGTTCCAAAGAGCTCAGGGCAACACCATGGAAAGTTAATTATTACTTCAATTTTGAGTGTCCTTTAGTGAATGCTTCAGTTTTAAGAAACGCCACCCTGGAAAAGACTTGTGTGTGTGTGTTTTCTTCCCTGTGTTGTCTCCGTGATGTAAATTTGAATTTGGAAGCAGCTCTGAGGCGTTTCCCACCTTCTCTCGGCAGGTCCTACGGCTCCGACAGCGACAGCGACCGCAGCTACTCCAACAACAGGAGCCCCAGTGAAAGCAGCAGGTACAGCTGAAAACACTTCTTTGAGGATGAAAACTCTTTATTTCATCGTTTTCTTCAGTGTTACATTAAAACAAAACAACAAACAAACAAGTGAAGGTTGTTTGCTGACTTGGCTGACGCTTTACCGGTGAACTCGCTCGCCTCTTGAGCTCACAGAGACAAGGACTGAGCTCCACAGCTGAGTTGATTTTTTTAATTCTTTTTTTTTTTTTTTTTTAAATGTGAAATGCAACTTTTACAGGATAATTAAAAAAAAAAAATACAATAACCCAGCAGTTTTTTGTTTCCTTGAATTCGCTTTTCCAAGCCATGGATGACTCTCAGAGGAATTGCCGGCACCGCTTTTTCTGGGTGCAGCAGAGTCTGTTTCTAAATAAACACCTTGAAGGGCTTTGTGCCCCTTCCTGGGAAATGTGTGTGAGCAACTATTAAAACTGTGAAGTCAATTTCTTACCGAGGCTGCCGTTTCTAGTTCATGGAAATGCTTTTTTCTAATGCTGGAATCTGCATTCTGTGCTGTCTCCGTTGTTGATCGTTGTGTTCTGTGCGGGATAGAGGCGATGAAAAACAAAGCTGCCACTCTGTCTTAATCCTTCCTGAACTGTGAGGTTGAGGAATTCTGCTGGAAAAGGTGAGATGGTGCACCAGTGGGAATTGTCAAACTGACGAGCAGTGAAGCGAAAGTGTGATGGGAATGAGTTTTGAGCTTCGTGTCCAACCTGTCTAAACTTTTTATGTTCCAGAAATAAATTTTGTGATAAACAGCAGTGTCCTTTGGAGACTAAAGAAAGTGTTCCTAAACACTTCTTGACTTTTCATTTCAGTTCCTATTACAGTGCTTGGCATCCTCCACCACATTTTGGGTGTTGTTAAAGCATTGAGTGTGCCATGAGTTTGTCCAAAGCACTTTTGGAAAGACTGACATGATTATTTTTTTGAGAAAACCAACCATAAAAGTTCCTTTATGAAATGCCTGTACCTGTATCCCATCCTGTGTTCCATACAGGGAATATCAGATATACTGCAGATACTGAACTCCAGATTGTTAAAGGGATGGGACTAGAAAAATTCTGGGATGCCTGATGAAAAAGCATGGACAATACTTTACTTTAGAAATTTATTACCAAACGTTTTCAAAAAAATAAATAGTTTTAAGCTGAAGACCACTGAGTAAGTTTTGCAATTCTCTGGCTGAGTTGCTGTAAAATAATTTGTGAAGTTTTTCAGGGGTATAGAAAGCTGAGTGCTGAGAACCAGACTTTTTTAATGGCACAGTGTGACCTGCAAATTGGGGTCTGTGGTGACACAACAGACTTAACATCGTTTGATTAGAGCTAACGAGCTCTGTTGTATCATAATAGTTTTCATTACTGACTTTCTGTAATAGCTGGAGATGCTTTCATTTTTCTCAAATGTTTTCAAATATTGGAAATGATTTTTATATTTTTTGTTTTTGTGTGTGTGATCTCATCAGGCCCCAACAGCTTTGAAAATTAAAAGTGGTTATTTCTCGCTTAGGCATCAATTCATTCTCCCTTTGATTGAATTAAACTACCCCCAAATTAGATAATTTTTTCATATACTTGTGAAACATGAAAAGCAAGTTCAAAGGGAAGTTTGCAGGCTGTGATGATTCCCTCCATTTCTGTCCAGCAGCAGCTGAATAAGACGTTTCTCTGCACGTTTTCCTGAAGCTGAATTTGCCACAGAGGTTTTTTTTCACTTTTCTACGAGAACCCAAAATTCTGAACTTTCCCCCTTCCTACACTTCTAGTTTAGTGACAAAGTGTGTGCTTGTGACCCTTTCCAGTCTTTCTTTCTTTTGTAACTTTACCATTAAATCCATTTCTTACTGGAGGCAGGATGCATTTACAGACAAGTTTCTAACAATACAGGAGCCATCTCAGAGTCCTGAACAAATATTTCAGGAACATTTGTTGCAGTTTCATCACTTTCAGTAAAGGTGTAACTTGTTTGTCTCTTACTAAAAAAATAGAACTAGAGGGCTCATGTACAAATATAACCATTACCATTCAATACTTATTAGTGGGGAAAAAAAATAGCTCCAGAATCAGACCTTTATCATAGATCAGAGCTGATTTGAGTTTTTAAGGGGCAGGAAAAGGTAGTAGAAATATGGTCAATCAATTAACTGTAGTTACCAAAAATTACCGCAATGCCACTAAAGTCTTTCATATCTTGAATATAAAGCTTTATAAAGAAATTCCATCAGGTTGGGGAAGGGGGTTGAGGGAAGGGTTGGGGGGCACTTAGTGAATTCTGTTCAACTGTGCTTCAGGTAGAAAACATCCCCCTGAGCTGGTTTTCTAACTTTGGTCTATGTTTTTGCAATTTTGTTATTCCAAAGTAGTTGCTGTTTGTAAAATAAACTTTTGTACATATCTGCAAATTCTGTTTTTTTTTTTTTTTTTTCTTTCTCTGCATCTGGAAAAATCTGGTGCTGCTCGAGGGGAAAGAGGCAGGAAAATTAAAAATATACTTCACTTTCTGCATCTGCCTTTGTCCCTCTGCAGGACTCGGGCACGAGTGTTTTGCCTTTCCTTTTGCTGACCTACATAGGGAACGATTCCTCAGCGAGACTCAGCGCTGGGTTTACAGAACAGTCAGTGGAGGGACAAATATTTTGATTTTTCCAAGTGATTTGAGGCCTCTCCATTTCCTCGAGATACACAAAAAGGTTCCTCTCCTCGCTGCAAAGAGGCGCTCGGCAGCTCTCCACGGAAATCTGGGGATTGGGCTGAGCTTAAACCACTTGGCTAAATGTTCTTTGCCAAACACACGTCCCCACATCGCTTCCTTAGCTCGTGGCAGCAGATGGGGTGGCTCAGTGCGTTAATCCATTAGTCTTTTAGACCTTCTGTTCCCACCCCAAAAAAACTGGATTTCCTCGGAAATGCTGGCTTTTGTCATAATGGAAAGACTGATTGCCCTGGTCTGAGGTGAAAAGGGCAAGAGGGAAGCGTTTCCTTGTTTGGTTTGGTCTTTTAGTGGGGTCTGGTTAACCTGGCATTTCCCTGAGTTTGGGAAGGAAAAGCAAGAAATCCTGGGCAGGACAAGGAGGGTGGCCTGAGCTGTAGTGCTGAAATGTTTGGAAAATGGTAACTTTAAGGTGGGGAAGGGGCCACACCAAAGAGATCAGCTGCAATAGGGTGAGAAATGTTAGATGAGCTCTTATGTCTCACTGCAGCACAAACCTGTTGGTTTTCATAGGATGGTTTGGGTTGGAAGGGACCTTAAAAACCCTCTCATATCCCAGGTTGCTCCAACCTGGCCTTGGACACTTCCAGGGATCCAGGGGCAGCCACAGCTTCTCTGGGCAACCTGTGCCAGGGCCTTCCCACCCTCCCAGCCAAAAATTCCTTTCTACTATCCCATCTATCCCTGCCCTCTGGCAGTGGGAAGCCATTCCCTGTGTCCTGTCCCTCCATGCCTTGTCCCCAGTCCCTCTCCAGCTCTCCTGGAGCCCCTTTAGGCCCTGCAAGGGGCTCTGAGATGTCCCTGGAGCCTTCTCAAGCGAACAGGTTGTTAGAAGTGTTTATCAGCCTTTCTTTGAAGAGCTTTTAATGCTTCCAAAGCCGAATTCCCTGCAAAAGCCAAACTCTGGGATGGTGGGGCCGTGCTCAGGAGCTGCAGCCATGGAGGGTCACGGTGTCTCCTGGAGCCTCACGGTGGCTGATGATCAGCTGCCTGTGCCCTGCTCATCAGTGACAGTTTCTGATTAAAACAAGCCTTAAATCCTGCAATGGAGTTAAAGTTATTACTCAAGGGTAAGTGATTTCTGCTAAAAAAAAAAAAGGGGAGTTGTAAATGAGATTGGTCTGTAGGCCCTGGGTTGTGTTGGGAACAGTTTATCCACTGCACAGCGCACAGGACACTGTGGAATAGCTCTGGAGGAGCAAGTGTTTGTCTCCAGTTGCAGGTGAGTGACTCGTCCCCGGTAAGACTATTTTAAATGAACCATCTGCCTCTCAAACAGCCACTTTAAAATCACAGATTTACAAACCCACAGCATAAATACACTTTTCCTACGAAATCCCTGCCCGTTCCTTCCCACTCCGGCGCTTCCAAACAAGGGCAGTTTGTGTCCTTGCAGCTCGAGGGGAAGCAGCTTTTAAAGTGGCGTGGGGGGTTGTTTTTTTTTTTATTTTTTTTTATTTCTGAAGATCCCTCAGTGTCTGACAGCCTATTAAATGTCTGTTGTGTCTTTGTGTGCTTGTGGCCGTCACACTCCCGGCTCGGAGCGGTGCAGAGTGTTTGGATGACCTTGAGCTGCACCCTGGAATCCCATCTGGTGTCATTTCCAAAGGGAACTGCTGCCTGGGATTTAAATCACCAGGAGATAAAGCTTTTGCATGCTCCACCCCTGCCTCGCAGCCATGTAAGTCATTCTTTTTTGGGTGGTTGGGAAACAGGAAGGATTTTCCACCTGGTTTTAAAAACACTCCCGCTGTGGTGCTTTAAAACTGTTTACAAATTTATCTAAACAGTTAAAGGGGCCCAGGCTCGAATTCCATAATATCCATGTAATCCCTCTGAAGTGGATGGGATTGCATGCATGAAATCAGAGGGCCCGTGGCAGTTTTGGGGAGGTTTTTTTTAATGAAGGTGATATTTCAGAGTCACAGTGGATGCACTGAGAGGGGATGGGCATTAATTGGGTATTAATTGATATTTCTGTTGTATCTGCCCTTGCAAGAGCAGGACAGCCCATGGAAATTGATGTTCTTACCCACAGGGTGTTCTGATGTTGCACCTGGGAATTCTGTGGTAATTTTGGGCCCCTGTTCTGCAAGAAAATTGTGGAGGGGCTGGAGCGTGTGCAGGGAAGGGAAGGGAGCTGGGAAGGGGCTGGAGCAGCAGGAGGGGCTGAGGGAGCTGGGGGGGCTCAGCCTGGAGAAAAGGAGGCTCAGGGGGGACCTTCTGGCTCTGCAACTCCCTGACAGGAGGGGGGAGCCGGGGGGGAGTTGGGCTCAGCTCCCAGGGAACAAGGAACAGGACAAGGGAAACGGCCTCAAGTTGCACCAGGGGAGGTTTAGGTTGGATAACAGGAAAAATTTC